ATAATTTTTTTAATTTTTTAATTTTTTACACTTTCATATTGTGTCATTTAGACATAGAATCTATTATTGATATAGGTATTATACTAATTTTTTTGTGTATCATTGACCTACACTAAAAACTAAGACGTATATTGATTTCATGAATAATTTATAATTTACAAACTTAATTAAATTAAAATTTTTAAGCATATGGGTATTACAATTAGAGTTGTAAAATAAATAGAGCTAAATTCCTTAAAACTTGAATTTGACCTAATATTAGGTACAATAATAAATTAACTCAATTTGAATAACTTGATTTTGAACTTGATACATAAGTTTTACTTAGTACTCCAATTTAATAAAGGATTTAAATTAAATTAAAACTAAAATTTTCAATGTTATATATATATATTTAGTTTTTAATATAAATGAGTCAAATCAAATTTAAATTATAACTTGCATTTGACTTTACTCAATTTTTTATGATAAGTTTTCAACTCAAACGTGATTTTGAATAAAACTTGATTTTGAATAAAATTGAATCCAACTCCAGTTCAAGTCGGGTAATAAACTCATTTACAACACTAATTACACCAACTTTGAAATCTTAATGACTACTAGAAGAATGTCTAGAACTGCAAAATTAACAAAGTGAAGGTTGAAGACCAACTTATACTTTGAGTTAAAAATTAAGGACCAAAGAAAGCAATTTAGCTTAGATGGAAAGAAGAAAACACAGCATTTGTTTTCATCACGATTCACGTGTTAAAGAAAAGTATAATTAAAGTTAAAGCTGTCGCGGACCGTGATAGTTGTCCTTGGGTAAGGGGACTGACAGATTTAGACATAGACTAATTTGAAGAAGTTTACAAAGTAGTACAATTTACCTTTAAAAAAAAAAGTTGTGCAACAAGGCAGTCTTTTCAATTATAGAGGGTTGCCTTTGACTGGTTATTTCGATGTAAGGATAAATTAAAAAATGTCAGACATATACCAAACACTCCACGTGAGAAAGCCCAAAACAAAAGGACACCCTATTGAAATTCTCAATAAATTGCGGTAATGAGACGACTTTAATAAGTTGTATATCACTTGTTTTTTTTTTTTTCTATTTGATAAGGGTAGTTATCAAAGATTAGTACGTTAAAGGTGTAAGTGAGGAGTAATAAACCCATTGTATATCACTTGTTTGAACTTAATGTATCTGAATTTTTTTTTTTTATAAATATGGAATTTAAAATTTGATTTCCCCTCCACGCCCCTACTCTGCCAACATAATTGTTTCTTCTAGTAATTTTTGGAAATAAAAAAATATTTTACCATTTAAATA